TTCACTTCCCACCTGCCACTTGTAAGATTTGGTTGCTTCCCCTTTGCCTTCTGCCATGAGTGTAAGTTTCCTGAGGCTTCCTAGCTATGCTTGCTGTTAAGCCTGTGGAATTTTGAGTAGTTAAACTTCTTTCCTGTATAAATTACCCAGTTTTGGGCAGTTCTTTATAGCAGTGTGAAAATGAACTAATACACTAGGCTTTAAACAAATTCTCTAGGTATCCCATAGTCATTCCAATGAGAAAATAGAACTTTTCTCTGTGTATCACCCTTTTCTCTCTACCCGGTCACACCTCCCCAGTACGGGCTCTTCCCATGATGGAGCTGGCTGGAAACAGGTGAAGAATGCCCAGTTAGAAGATGCCACACAATGGATCTATCCTAAATCTCTGTCCTAAATCTATCCTAAACTCCATATTGGACCCAGAGCAAGCTCAGGAAATAAGTCAAGTCTGTATCTACAGCCTTTGCATAAATTAGGGGAGAACATACCATGGAAACTGAAATTCTTTTCCTTTCCCTTGCAGACTTTAGATAACCCTTTCCACGGGGTAGTCTGTCTGGGAAAGTTTGCATGAAGGCCAAGTCTAGGCTAAACTAGGAGCTCTTCATGTCCCAGGGCTATCAGTCCTGCCCTTTTTCTTGAGCAGTAAATAACTCTCAGCTTTGAAAAGCATGCCCTGGTGACGTGTTCATCATGGCCGTGGGAGGAGCAGAGTCTGGCTGTCTGGGTGCAGAACTCGGAGCTCCAAACCTCGTCTGACACCGATTTTCTCCCTGCGATGAATGGTGGAGACTGTGGCCCTGAGAGTGACCAAGGAAAGGATCCTGTCTTATCGTGGATCACATGGTGCTCCACTGAGTCCTGCTGTGCAGGGCTGATGTGCCCCCTCCCAGCTGCTAGGCATATTGGTGCAATGAATCACAGCTGGGTCCCTCGATGGCCATCGCCTAACACAGACAGGACTACATTGCCCAAGGTTATTCTCATTTTCGGGAGGCAGCTGATGCTGGGATACAAAAGTCCAGCCTACAATCCTCAATTTGGTGCACAGTGGTTTTGGAGCTTCTTAAGGTATTGGGTGAGGCCTCAGTCGCAGCTGTCTTAAAAGTCACGTTCCCCTTCTCCTCAACCCTGCCTTCCTCACTTCCTCCCAGATGTGTCCCGAGCACCCTCTCAAGAAAGCTTCTGGGTGCAATTTCCCAACAACTGGAGCTGTTTCCCAGGCACCTAAGCTAACTAACTTTCTCATAATGGCCACTGTTTTCTTCAAGGTCAGCTTTAAGATGTGTGAAATTAACATCACCCTACAACAGTAATTTGCTTTGATAGAAGGAAAACATTATTGTTAGATGCAAGCCTCTGACATTCATTTCCCCTCTCACAGCTATGGTTGGCCTTCCTAAGGACGCTTGGGGAGAACCAATGGGACCACAGATGACAAAGCTGCAGTGGCTCTAGAAACTTTCACCAGAAGTAACTTGAGAGACAAATTGAAGAGAAATTCTAGATGTCACGAAAATGTGGCATGCTAACTGGGATTGCTGGATGGCATGTTAAGGGGAGTTGCTAGAAGAAGACGGGTGTGAGATTAGCAGAGATATTGAAAGAAAGTGGGAAAAGGGACAAAAAGAGGAGGGAGAAGAGGACTTTCTTAAGGGATGGTAGATTTTTATTTAATTTCCTGGATTAGGTATTTTTATTTATTTATTTATTTTTTGAGAGGGAGTCTCGCTCTGTTGCCCAAGCTGGAGTGAGTGCAGTGGCGCGATCCCGGCTCACTGCAAGCTCTGCCTCCCGGGTTCACGCCATTCTCCTGCCTCTGCCTCTCGGTTAGCTGGGACTACAGGCGCCCACCACCATGCCCGGCTATTTTTTTGTGTGTTTTTAGTAGAGACGGGGTTTCGACGTGTTAAAATCTACATCTGTTAATTGACTGCAAGTGTCTTTGTAATTTGAGAGCTCTTGGCCTTCCAGGCAAGGAGAGGATGATTACAGATTTGTGCAAAGAGGTAAATCTTATGATGTGAGCATGCCAAGAGAAGCCCCACCTGTGTGTACATGTGCTTAAAGGATTAGAGCAAAGTTTGAAATTATGATATATTTTCTTTAGAGTAAGCACCTTACTCTTTAAGCTTCTGTTTCCTTGAAGGAGGGAGGAAGAAACCGTCAATTCTTGAAGGTAATCGGGTGAATGGGATTCTCCTCTTGTGGGATTTAATGAAGGTTTAAGTGCAGGGAGATGAAGGATGTGTTGTTTATGTTTTATTTTAACACATTAATAAAACCTATTTTTCATACTTGTGATTCCAGTTCAAAGGCGTCACTTGCAAGAGGTCTGTCAGCTCTGGATGAAGGTGACATTTTTTGGGAGATGCAGGAGCCAGGGAAGTTATAGCATGAGGGGCTAGTGGAACATAAAAGGGTTTTTTCTTTTTTTTTTTTTTTGAGACAGAGTCTTGCTTTGTCGCCCAGGCTGGAGTGCAGTGGCATGATCTCAGTTCACTGCAACCTCCGCCTCCCGGGTTCAAGCGATTCTCCTGTCTCAGCCTCCGGAGTAGCTGGGATTACAGGTATGTGCCACTACACCCAGCTAATTTTTGTCTTTTTAGTAGAGACAGGGTTTTTTTTCAGCAGGTTGGCCAGGTTGGTCTCAAACTCCTGACCTCAGGTGATTCGCCCGCCTTGGTCTCCCAAAGTGCTGGGATTACAGGCATGAGCCACTGCACCTGGCCAAAGGGGAACTTTTAAAGAAGGATTGCTGTAGTCTTTGTGTTCCCTTTAAGGTCTTCAAGAAAGTAAGTACTTGGTTATCTTTTTTTAAACGAAAGGTATTCCTTGACTGGAGTAGGTGATTATTTAAATTTTTTATTTTTATGTTTATAGGATCAGGGGTACAAGTGCAGTTGTGTTGCATGGATCTATTGCACAGTGGTGAAGTCTGGAATTTTAGTACTCATTGCCTGAATAGTGAACACTGTACCCAGTCATTTTTCATCCCTCACTTTCCTCCCACCCTCCAACATTTTGGAGCCTTCAGTGTCTCTTATTCCACTCTGTATGTCCGTGGGCACCCATCATTTAGCTCCCATTTCCAAATGAGAACATGCCGTTTCTGACTTTCTGTCTCTGAGTCATTTCACTTATGATAATGGCCTCTAGTTGCATCCATATTGCTGCAAAAGACATGATTTCATTATTTTTGATGGTTGCATATGTATTCCATGGTATATATGCACCGCATTTTAAAATCTAATCATCTGTTGATGGACACGTAGGTTCAGCCCATGATGTTGCTATTGTGAATAGTGGAACAGTTGATTATTAAACTGAAGAGAGAAAAGGACTTCCTCTCCCCATGACTTAACAGGAATGAAGGACAGTGCATTTATAAAAGGATGGCCATCATCAGCTACTGGGTAGGCTGAGGCTTTCGATCACCATAGGTTGCAACTGGTGTGTCAGGTGGACGAGGGCAAGAGGATATGGTAATTAGAAATATCTAAGTTACACAGCATGTAATTTTTGGGAAACTGAAAATCACACACAGATACATCTAATAAAGACACGGGTACTTTATTTTCAAAACACTCATATGTTGCAAAAAACACATAGAAAAATAAAGTTTGGTGGGGGTGCTGACTAAACTTCAAGTCACAGACTTTTATGTTACAGACTGGAGCATGGTTTGTTATGCATGTAGAGAACCTAAACTAATTTATTAAACAGGATAGAAACAGGCTGTCTGGGTGAAATGGTTCTGAGAACCATCCAGTTCCCCTGTCAGATGCTGATAGACTAGCTCTTCAAATGTTTTTCTGCCAGTTCAGAGATGGGTTAATGACTAGTTCCAACAGGGAAAAAGCAAGATGGATTCACAAGCCAAATAATTTTAAACCAAGACACTTTTTTTTTTCTTTTTTGCAACACAATATACATCACAGTGAAATGTGGAATCCTTGCAAATTGCAAGTTGAAAGAATTAAATTCAGAGGAGGGGAGAGAAAGAGTACTCAGTAGGGACTGAGCACTATATGCTTATTTTAAAAGAAATGTAAAGAGCAGAAAGCAATTCAGGCTACCCTGCCTTTTGTGCTGGCTAGTACCCCGGTGGGTGTCAGCAGTACATGGCATTGAATATTTCAGTGTGGAGCCCAAACCACTGAAAATGGGGTGAAATTGGCCAACTTTCCATCAACTTATGTTGGCAATTTTGCCACCAACAGTAGATTGGCCCTTTTAATAAAAGAAAATTGAAAGGTTTCTCACTAAATGGAATTAAGTAGTGGAATCAAGAGACTCCCAGGTCTCAGCATACCTCATTAGTAATTGTTTTGTTGTTTCATGTTTTTCTAATGTCTCCCCTCTACCCGGTCACCTGAGATAACAGAATGAAAGTGGAAGGACAGCCAGATTTCTCCTTTGCTCTCTGCTCATTCTCTCTGAAGTCTAGGTTACCCATTTTGGGGACCTATTATAGGCAATAAACACAGTTCCCAAAGCGTTTGGACAGTTTCTTGCTGTGTTTTAAAATGGGTTTCCCTTTTCTTAGCCTTTTCCTGCAAAAGGCTCACTCGGTCCCTTGTTTGCTCAGTGAACTGCGCTCCCCAGGGCCTAGGCTGCCTTCTTTTCCATGACCCCGCCCATGAGCCCTCCACTGGACAGCTCGGTGAGCCTGGCCCTTCATTCTGCACTGTGTTCTTCCTTCTCTATGAAAATCCAATACCTCTTACCTCCTCTGCATGCAAAGATTCTCAAGGATTGTCAGACTTCAAACGTAACAGCAGAACCACCAGAAGGTCCTATAAATGTAGCAGTGACCTTCTCAAGCTGTCAGGTATTTAAATAGGATTTGGGATTTAATGCTATATATTTTTAAAGGAAAGAAATAAGAGTTGCTAGTTTTAAAAATGCATGTCTTTTAGCCAATTCAGAATCTGCCCCCAACCTTTTTTTTAAAAACTCAAGACAGATAAAGCTTTGGGGAGAGGAAAAAAATTAAAAAAAAAAAAAAAAAAAAAAAAAGACCAGATCTTGGGATCTCGGGCTAAATACGTGAGGCATAAGTTAGGTGCAGCCAGACTAAAAGTCTGGACTAAAATGAAGCCCTTTAGTGAGTAATTGCTGCAAAAAAGGAACAAAAAATTGTAAAAGGAGGGAAGGAAGAAATATGTTGCCTCTGAGGATACAGTATATATGATAGCCTGAAAACTCCAGGAAACTTCTGATTCTAAATTCTCCAGTCTGGGAGAAAAAAGTTGAGGAGAGTCCTTTCCACTTTCTGCTAACAAAAAACGCAACAGTCCCGAGCAGCAGTGTGGAGACCCTCCTTAGGCTCCTGTCTTGGACATGTGGAGATTCTCCTGGCACGGCCCCACCTCTTGCAGTGGAGTTCTGTTTATACAGCTTGTCTTAAAATCACAGCCAGTGCATCTTGTTCTATTTGGGCCACTCTGTAAATACTTAAGTTGGCATACCATTTTAAAAGGAATAAAAAGGAATAAGAAGCAGCTGATATTTTCATCTCCTCCCACCCATCTCCCCCTCCCATGCAAATGTGTGCTAAGCATGAGGGTGTTCTCTTGGAGACCCTCTATTTGCCCCACTCTTTTACAGGGACAGAGAGAGCCTTGGCCATATTCCAAGGCCAACAGGAGGCTTCTGGACTTAAGTTTAATTCAGTTGGTGACATCCTCGTCCTGGCTGTCCTTTCTCCCGTTAGGTTTGCTCTTTCAGAGTTGATATTCAGTGACACAGGAGGATGGAGTTGTAGAACAGAATCCTCACGTGTACAGTTCCTCCAAAATCATGCAAAGAGCTGAGAACAGCACTTGATTTTCCCTCTCTCCCCTTCAAACAGGTAGCCAGAAGCAAAAAAATGACCTACAGTATGCACTGGGGGACAGACTTAGATATTAAAACGTTCACTGTCTCTGTTGTTTCATTGTCTCAGTAGTGAAGATGTGAGATTTCCACAGAAATCTCCAATAGCTTTGTTGCGCACACCTCTTGCTCCCTGACCTTGGCCCCTTGTGCTTTTCATAGCCACACCCTGGGGAAAGCAGTTTTTGATCATACATGGTTGTCACCTGAGCTGGCATTACCAAAAAGCTGGGCTCCAGCTGCCCACGCAGTACAGGTATGGGTAGTAAGGATAGTTGTTATACAAGGAGACCAGGGAGGCCCGGGAGAAGGCCTCCTCTTTCAGAGCCGGCAAAGAGGAGTGCTTCTCCAAGTCTCCCAGCTCCGAGGAGAGCTGCTTTCTCTTAGTCTTATAGCGTCTGTTCTGGAACCATATCTTCACTTGGGTCTCCGTGAGCTTGAGGTTCTTGGCCAGGTGGGCCCGTTCAGGGGCCGACAGGTACTTCTGATGGCTGAACTTCCTCTCCAACTCGATCACCTGAGTGTGGGAGAAAGCAGCTCGAGAGCGCTTCTGCGGCTGCTTAGGGGTTTGGGGGAGGCTTGGAAGGGAGCCTGAAGTGTTTTCACAGTCCAACAGATAAGACCCCAAGTGCCTTTCTGGAAAGGACAGCGGGGAAAGAGGGATGGGAAGACAAAAGTTACATGTTAGCAGGGAAGAGAACAGAATTCAATCCACCCTTATCTCTTTAGTGAGTGAACAAACAGCCCACTGTCATCGTGGATACATTTCACTTTTTTCACATGACTAAGGAGCTCTCCGGAGTGAAGAGTGAGTAAATATGTTTATAACCTATTCATTTTCTAAGAATCATTAAGAACACAAAGTTAGAGATGTTTCGTGGTTGAACGTTCTCCCTATTGTCTAGTAGAATTAGATGGGGATTCTGGATCTGTGTGCTGAGGAGAGGCAGGAGAGGGAGGCAGGGAAGACAGAGGAACAAGACACCCGGGAAGGCCGGACCAAAAGGCATCCGGTGTTAGGACTCAGGTGGGCAAGAAAGGGCTTGTGCCACGGGAGACGCAGAGGCAGGCTCATTCTGGGCTTTAATTCCGTCTTCACTAAACTAGGCGTTCAGTCGCCTCATCAGAAGTGACAGGGAAGAAAATAACTCTTTCCTGGAGGGAACCCAAAATGTACCGCTTTACTGCCCACGGGATTGGGAAGCACACAGAGGCTTTCCTGGTCAACCCCTACTTTGTCACTATTAATAAGTTATCATTAGTTCTCGTAACTACCGTGGGGCTGGCGCCGATCGCGGATGGCACGGGGCGGGATCCGCTCCCGGGACGGTGGAGGGCGGTGGCGCTGCGGTCGCGCCGGCTTCTGAGCCCCGGGGAGCGGAGGGCACGGAGCCGGGAGAGTCCTGCCGTGTCAGAATCCTGCGCCGCCCTGACGCTGGGGCTCAGGGTTCATCCCCGGGGCGCGCGCGCGTGGCTGCGGAGGCGGGGAGTTCCCTCTGCCTGAGGCCGCGGGGCCCCGCGTCCCTGCACCCCAAGCTCTGGGGGGTCCACCTTAGGCTGCCCTCGGGTCCCGGCCTCGCCGCTTACCTGGCTCCGTCTCCGCCAGCGTCTCGGCCTCCTCCGGCGCGGCGCGGGGCCTGGGGCTCAGCTGGTCGTTCTGTACCCCGGCGGGGCCGCGTCCTCCCTCCGGCTCTGGCTCTGGCTCCGGGTCGCGCCGTCTCGGGCTGTCCGTGTGGCCGCCTCGCCGCTGCGCGCCGTCCCGCAAGATGTCCTGGATGAGGAAGGACGTGAGCGGCTTGGACGGGGTTGGCGGCGCGGCCCCCTCCGCTTTCGCCTCCCCGGGCAGCGGCTCCGTAGCCCTGAGCATCCCGGCTGCCCCGCTCTGGCCTCGCTGCGCCAGCCCGCACAGCTTTCACTTTCCACCTCCCAGCGCGCTTATAGCCCCGGGGGAAGCGCGCCGCGCCGCCCTCCCATTGGCCGCGGGACGGGCCGCGCCGCGGATTGGCCGCCCTGCGCTCCAGGTGACGCCGCGGAACGGGAAGGCCTGACCACGAGCCGGCTCCGCTCCTCCCTAGGGGATTGCTTCCCCAGTTCCCTCTCCTTCCCCAATTCCCTATCCTTCACCCAGCTCTCCTCCCTCCGCCCTGAGCCGTTTTCCCAGGTCGGGAGCGCACCCCAAAGCTGGGCTCCTCTGCCCCAACCCACCCGCAACAGAAGTTGAGAAGCTCATGGGGATGGGATGACCAAGACGAACACTCCAGTTAGCTCTTCAGGACGGTCAGAGCCAATCACACGGGGTGAGCACGCAGTCACTGCAGCCGCACGGTACCGTGAGAGTTCTGGATGCTTTCTCTCTCTGGGAGAGATGGTGGCAAACTTAGATCTGCAATATTTACGATCTCAAAGAGGCATGACAAGTAGGTGCAGCCTGACCCCAGGCTGAAAGAAGGAAACCATATTTGCCAAAGCCTTTTCCCATTGCACAAGTGGTTTTCTTTGGTGGTTCCTTTATCCGCAATAACCTATTAACTTTCCTTCCTTCCCAGACACATGACATACCATCCTTTTGAAAAGTTTCCAGAAGGATGGAAGGCGTTTTAGGCCAGGATGGGCGCAAAAACTGCATTTAAAAAAGTAGTTCAAAAGAACATCAGCATACTCTTTTTCCACATTACCAACTGTTAACATTTAACCCATTGGCTAAACAATGGGTTAGCTGAATTGGACCAGCTGGTACTGTGATTGGACTGGACGGTACTGTGACATGGACGAAAGTGGAACATAGATGATAGAAGTATTTTCTTTCCTTGGCTTTTGCCTTCTTTTTCTACGGACAGGATCTCCCTCTGCCGCCCAGGCTGGAGTGCAGTGATGCCATCATAGCTCAGTGCAGCCTCGATTTCCTGGATTCAAGTGATCCTCCTGCCTTGGCCTCTCAAAGTGCTAGGACTACAGGCGTGAGTCTCAGCGTCAGGACGATGGTGGAAGTATTGAATTAATGTTAAATTTACTGAAGTTGTACACTGTACTGTCAGTGTATAAGATAATATTTTTAGGAAATTAACACTGAAGTGTGTAGGAGCAAAGGCACAAGATCTACGAAACTTACATCAAATGGTTCTGAAACAAGGATGCAGTTAGATCCCACACCATAAAGCCAATGGGTTAAATGGTAACAGTTGGTAATCTGGAAAAAGGGTAGGCTGATTTTTTTTTAACCATTTTTTTTTTAATGCGACATTTTTGTCTGTCCTGGTCTAAGATGCCTTCCATTCCACTGGCAACTTTTCAAAAGGATGGTATGTCATGTGTCTCTGGAGGAAGGAAAGTTAATAGGTTATTGCTGATAAAGCGGCCGCCGAAGAAAACTACCTGTGCAATGGGAAAGACTTTGGCAAAGCTGGTTTTCTTCTCTTATCTTTTCAAAGTCTCTTTATATTAGAACATTCTTTAATGTTTTCTTTTGAATCGTTGTAGATTCACAGGAAGTTGTCCTCCAATGACATTTTATACAACTGTAGGACAATGTAGAAAACAGGAAATTTACATTGGGACATTACAGTTAACTAGACTACAGACTTTTTATTTATTTATGTATTTATTTAGAGTAGGGTCTTGCTCTGTTGCCCAGGCTGGAGTGCAGTGGAAGGATCACGGCTCACTGCAACTTCAAACTCCTGGACTCAAGAGATTCTCCCACCTCACCCTCCTGAACAGCTGGGACTACAGGTGTGTGCCACCCTGCTCAGCTAATTTTTACATTTTTTGTGAAGATGAGGTTTCACCTTGTTGCCCAGGCTGGTCTCAAAGCCCTTGGCTCAAACAATCCTGCCTCCACCTCCCAAAGTGCTGGGACTACAGGTGTGAACCACTGTGCCTGGCTTTATTGTGGTTTAAATTTTTAATTTGTATTTCACAAATGCCTAGAGATGTTGAATACCTTGTCATGTGCTTGTTTGCCATCCATATTTCCTCTGTAGTGAAATATCTGTTCAAGCCTTTTGCTCGTATTATAATTGAATTTTCTTTCTTTTTTTTTTTTTAACTATTGAGTTGTGATAATTCTTTATATATTGCTGTATGTAAGTATTTGTCTGATAGGTGATTTGCAAATATTATCTCCCAGTCTGTAGCTTGTGTTTCCATCCCTCTAACAGGATCTTCAACAGAACAAAAGATTTTAATTTCATTGAAGATCAATTTATGAATTTTTGAATTTTACAGAATGTGATTTTGATGTCCTGCCTAAGAACTCTTTACTTAGTCCTAATACTGAAGATTTGCTCCTATGTTATCTTCTAAAAGTTTTATGCTTTACTCTTAAATCCATGATTCATTCAGAAGTAATTTTTGTATATAGTGTGAGGTTTAGATTGAGATGGCCTCCTTTCATTTTTAAAATTGAGAGTTGGGTGTGAATTATTTAATAAAAAGTGCTGCCATTTGGAAAATATAAAGTCCTATTCTTATGACAAAATAAATTCCAGACAGCTCAAAGATGTAAAACACAAACAAGCACGTGAAAAAATAATTTTAACTACACTTCATCAGTGAAGGAATGCAAATCAAAATCACATTGAGGCAAACCTTTTCCACCTTTCAGACTGACAAAGGTTGAAAGAAAATGGATAATGTCCAGTGTAGAGCATGGAGGAACAGCTGCTATCATAAGGTCATGCCCTGCATCGTGACGTTTGGTCAGTGACAGACAGCATATATGATGGTGATTCCATAAGGTTATAATACTCTATTTTTACTGTACCTTTTTATGTTTAGATATGTTTACATGCACAAATTCTTACCATTGTGTCACGTTTGCCTACAGTATTCAGTATAGTAACATGCTGTACAGGTTTGTAACCTAGGAGCAACAGGGCATACCATGTAGCCTAGGTGTGTAGTAGACTATATCCATCTAAGTTTGTGTAAGTAGCTCTGTGATGTTTGCACAACAATGAAATTGCCTAACATTGCATCTCTCAGAGCATACTCTTTTCCCTAAGGATGCATGACTGTTTTTGGATGGTAACTTGGGAATATTTGTCAAAATAAAACTGAGCATATCCTTTGACACAGCTATTCTGTGTTTGGCGATTTGCCCTAGAAGTGCACAAATACACAATGTATTGACTTGGGAATATACCTTCAATTTGGTTAGAGACTGGTCCAAGCTGCAAAATGTGTTATAGACAAAACCCATTGTATAAAACAGCATTATAAGTTACCTATATAATGTTTTTCATTTGAACACTTTAACATACAGACTATATCAGGAACAAGATATATACATATGTATTCTTTTTTTCCATAGAGTAGTTACCTCCTCTCAGTGAGATGGAGAGATGGAGACAGTAGGTTGGGAGAGGTGCGGGAGGATAGTGGAACAGGGTGTATTTCCTTGTACTCGTTGATAATTTAAAAAGATGAAAAATATCAAGTTGGAGCTGAGCCTAGACTGCCCTCCTCCACCACACCCTCCTCAAGCCTGTGAGTGGGGCCACAGCTCATGGTCCTCAGCCTCACCTCACTGCATCTTTCCTCCCCTTGTGCTTTGTATTTGGGGGGTGTGGACAGCTCATCTTCTTTATGAGACTATGGGCTCCCTGAGAAGGGACTGTATCTTCCTCATATTTGTACCATCCCTAAAGTCTGGCTTAGTTCTTGGCATATAGAAAGTGCTCCATAAATGCTTGCTGGCTCAATGTCCAGCTCCAGTTGTTATGAGACATCTCACTGGCTAGCAGAATTATCCAAGAGGGGCCAAAGGACCCCCAGGGAAATCACAGTGGAAGGCTCATCCTCCTCCCCTTGCTGTGTTTATGCAGTTTAAACTGGGTGAAAATGTGCAAGGCAATCTGGAGACACTCAGGGGCTGCAGCCCAGAACAATGCCCCCTTCCAGTGATGGCCAACCCCTAATCCCCAGATTCTGTGAATATGCTATGTAAATAGACAGCGAAAGTTAATGCTGCAGATGGAATTAGCTTCGCTGGTCCGCTGATCATGAGGTGGGAAGGTTATTCTGGATTATCCAAGTGGGCCTGTTGTAGTCACAGGGGTCTTTATCAGCATAAGTATGAGGCCGGAGAATCAGAGTCAGACAAGATGTGACAAGTGAAGCAAGGCTAGAAAGACTCAACTGTGGGAAAGACTCAACTGGCTCTTGCTGGCTTTGAGGGTACAAGGAGGACAGGAGCCAACTGATGGAGGCAGCAGGGAAAGAAAAGAAGTGGGTTCTCTCCTAGAGCTACCAGAAGGAACATAACCCTGATGACTCCTTGATATTAGCCCAGTAGGCCAGTGTGGGCTTCTGATCTCCAGAACTATAGCATAATAAATGTGCATTGTTTAAGCCACTAACTTTATGGTAATTTGCCGCTGCAGCAGTAAGAAACTAGTATGGGGCACTAGCAAAAGAGTAGCAGTGATGAAGGAGGGCCTACCAGCTTGACCTTGACTGTACAGATGAACTTTGGAGCCTTTTTTCCTTTTAAGTTATAAATATCTCTTTAGACCCATGATCCCATCCCTTCATTAAAACTGTTTTCTTTGTGTGTTTTCTTCCAGTCTTTGGCTAGCTTCAATGGTAGGATAAATATAATTTTGTATCCTTTTTTCCTCCCAAATTCATATTACACAGAAACATTTTTACATTGCTCCATTGCATGTTTTAGAAACCATCTGAGAGCTAGAAGGGACCTCTGGATTATCTAAGAAAATGTCTTGCTTTTCTAGGAAGGAGCCTCAAGTTTACAGAGATGACAGAACTATAACAAAGTTGAGTCCCTAAACCTCTAGGCCCTTGGATGTCTCCACTGCATCACCCTCAATCCTTCCACCCACCCCACCTGCCTCCACTGATACCCTTCAGGGTAGGAAGTACAACCAGAGCCCATAGAATTGG